TTAGAACAAGCTTAGCAAAGCACAGGGACCGCGGTTCAATCCCCCAGCACCACATGCCAGCCAGCCCCGCCCCCTGGTGGGCTGGAGGGGGGACATACACACACACACACACACACAAATAAAATTAAAAAAAAAAAAAAAAGCTAAGCAAAAGCACAGGGACTGCGGTTCAATCCCCAGCCCCACATGCCAGCCAGCCCCACCCCCTGGTGGGCTGAAATGGCCACACACACAATTGATTAAAAAAATAATGTTGGGCATCATTCACTATGCAAAAATATTCTTACACTCTTCAAGGCTAAGACAAGACAAGACAATCACAAGTTTGAATCCAAAACAAAAAAGTTTGGACAATCTAATAACTTAGTAAGAATTTGTCTGCAAATTTATTTATTTATTTATGTATTTATTGCAGAACCTGGAATTGAACTCAGGCCCTTGCACTTGCCAGGCAAGCACTTACTCTACAGAGCTATCTCCCCAGCCTTGTCTGCAAATTCAAAGGGCTAGAAACACCACAGGTCAAAAGCCATGGGTTTATTTTTTTTTTTAAACGTTTCATTCTGTGTGTGTGGCCAGCTCAGCCCACCAGGGGGCGGGGCTAGCTGGCGTGTGGTGCTGGGGGATTGAACTGCAGTCCCTGTGCTTTGCTAAACTTGTTCTAAGTAGGTGCTTTAGACCACTGAGCCATCTCACCAGCCTGTATGGGTTTAATCCTAGTATTGGGGAAGAAAAATAAAAGCCTTAATATACTTGAAAAGTAGTTGTTTTTTTTTTTTTTTGAAAAGTAGTATATTTTATATAAAAATCATATTTTTACCATTATTTCAATATATCTGCATTCATGTTTATTTTTCATTTTTAGAGCTCGCCATATTTTAAATTCTGTAAAGTGCCTTATTTCTGAGAACAGTAGTGTTTATTAAGAAACTCAAAACTATATCTTAGCTGGGTGTGGTGGTGCATGCCTGTAATCCCAGCACTCAGGAGGCTGAAGCAGGAGGATTGCTGCAAATTCAAGACCAACCTGGGCTACAAAGTGAGCTCGAGACCAGACTGCGTTTCATAGCAAGACCCTGTCTCAAAAAAAAAAAAAAAAAAAAAAAAA